CAGAGACAAAAAGATACACGTTAAAAAAAACAATATGCTTCGAAATTGATTATCAGTGACCTTATGACTTTATAAAAACTTAAACATTGCCGAAATGATTGTTACTACACCTACTTATTTTACATGAGGATTCAATAATACACAAAGGAAGGAGGTGACCGAGTAGTGCTTGCAAGGTTGGTCGACCACAATGTCAAACGCCTTGTTTAATGCATACGAGAGCAGAACATGTTACTTGACGATAAAACACATAACTGAAACATCTCACTGAACTGATCGTAAAACATCATTTGAAGACTTAGATATTATTTATCAAGGGCGCTATCTTAAATCTGTGTATTCAATAACTAATTCTATCCTTGGGTCTATCACGCTCCTTTTTAATTGCTTTAATGGCCTAAGGCGGTGTAACAGGTTCCTCTGAATGTCATAATATTTTGTTCTTTCGATCGATCACTTCATGAGTATTAAAATTTTGTGTAGTTGACTTCTATTCGTTTTGAGATGGTAGGGAAAATTTGTAGCTCGGATAAATGATTGTGACGGTGTTTCATTCCCTGAGCTGGATGTTTTGGTTAAGGCGCCTTCATTGTTCTTCCAAACATTATCATCAACACAAACTTCAGATCCACGACCAAAACATCCAGCTCAGAAAACGAAGCACCGCCACAACCTCCATTCATTTGCAAATATGAATAACATGACGAGTGCACCTATGAGTAGACCGTATCAAATATGACGAAAATCACGTCGCAGGTTTCACAGCCAATCACTATCCATTTATGCTTCTAATAATTGTAACCTAATAGCTAAGTCGATGCAGTCCGCACATGATGCACTTACACTAAATGGTACTGACCATTTGCAGCCCTAAACAGAAGTGGCAAGATTCAAACAACCAATACAGATCATTATATGATTGACTGTTTGAAATTATAACATTGATTATTAACTTTATTACAACAAATAACCATCAAATTCAATGTATTTAGCATACGAGTACAGAAAATTTAATACTATAAATCAATATAATTGGAGCTATTTTATATAGCCATAATATTTTCATATACCTTGTAGCATAGAATTACTTCACGGGAAAATACACATCAATCATTTAGTTAGTTAGTTGGTTGCACACTGATTCACTGTTTTCTTCATCAATAGGAAAAATTAAATGACTGACTGTTATTCTTACGCTTGAATTTCTATCCAAAAAAACATTACAGCATGAAAAGAGAATATTTAAGAATAACAACAACTATTCTAGAGCGGAGAAATTTTAAACAGATGACTATTTGATGGAAATAGACCACACACACACACATATTATGTTTTTGAGGGCAATCAAATGTATTGTTGACTGCTGATTGACTTGAGCATTTTCACTGTTAGTAAAATTAGTACTTCAGTTAAATCAACAGCTTTTCTTGACATGAAATAAAGTACTAGAGTAATATTCAGTCCAATAGTTATGAAAGCAGAAGTAATCTACCGCTTATTTGAATTATTTTATTTCTTTAAAAATTTCTAACCTAATATTTATCAGAGTGATTGATTTTCTCCTTCCGCGCTCCTCTTTCAAGACTTCATATCAGGCTGGTACTACCACAACTACCTATGCAGGACAAAACATTGAGCTTTCAGTAATGAAAGTGAATTACTCAATGTTAAACCTTTTGCGTGCGAAGATACACAATGTTTTTAACACGAAATTCTAATGTAGCTCATTAATCACTTAGTCAACGTAGGCATAAATGTCCCACGTCCTAAATGGCTAGGCTTTATCAATCATAATTTTCAATCAGAACTTTAAAACACTGAAAATTCTTATCGTCAAAATAGTTTACTGAAGCTGGTAATTTTGATTTTTAGTTGTTTGATAAATATATAAATAGATTTCAAATCTCAAAAGGAAGTTACACAATAATGGAGAATAATTTAAACAATTTTCTTACTAATAAAATATCATCAGGTTCTACAATTTTATATCCAAATTATTAATCTGAAAAATGGTCATGTTCAAGACAAGTTACATAGTTTAAAATTATAACATTTGAAGTTAGAATTGTTTGTGAAATGAAAAAATTTTGATAGAACACTGAAACAACGTAATAAATCACATTTTTTAGATCATCCACATCTTCTCACTATCTTATCAAAATTTATAAAATGAACTAATTGTTTAAAATAAAATAAAATTATTCATGTTCAAATGACCATTTTGCGTTTATCTGAAAAAGTTTAAACGTCATTTGAAATTGTGAGATTAGTAATCACAACAAATTAGAACATGAGGTACCTAGTGAATAGGGAATGGATGCTGAATAAACTTCCCTGATAGTAGCAAGCTTTTTAATGGTACTGATAACAATGTTATTATTAATAATAACGATAAGATTTGTGCATAAAATAAGTTGAACCTACGAAAATGTAAAGAGAGAGGTTAAAAGAACCTTAATCAGATTATTATCATGAAAATGATTGTTAACAAATTAGATCAGAAGTTGGTCAATGTAAAAGGAGTTGTTTAAAGCATTTCTTATGGACGCGGAGCTAAGGATAGCTGTTGATTCAGCCGTTTGAAGGATTCTCAATCTGATGGATTTAAGAAGATAGCGGTTAATGGGATATTGTTCCACACTGACCGTATGGATGTAGGCTAGAGCTGAGCTGTTAACAGGTTGAATTACACTTTTGATCAACCACACTAGGAGCTGTTCACAAGAACGAATATACCAATTCCTACAACATCTGCCGATGTACCTTGCTCCATAGGAACATTGACGGTTTATATTACAAACAATTCTAAATTTAATAACCATAATTTTTAACCATGTATTTTGTCATTTTATGAATTAGAAGTTTGGATACAGAATTATAAAACCCGATGAAAATTTATTAAAAAGAATGTTTTTCATTCATATATCTGTATTGAATTACAATTGTAATAAAACCTATTAGTATTTGAGTGAAGAGATAAATAAGTACCTGACTATCAATTTTCCATTGTAAGAAAGATTTATATCAGGTTCAAATAGTTTATATGGTTTTAGCACTTAAGGGTGAATAGTACTACTCGAACATTCAGCTCAACATACAGCTCCTTCAATGTATGTTCATTATAACTGCAAAATTACTTCTTGAGTTCACAAAAATATACTTTATTCATAATTTCTAAATTCTAGAAAAGGCAATCGTTTTCTCTGGAAAATAAAACGTTATAACTTTTCCTAATCTACTTTCTGTTTCATTTTCATTTCTTCAGATACATCCCACAAAGGAATAATCATTAGTCAGTATGCAGCCATTTTTGTTCTAATTCAATTATCAATGCAAAAGTAAATTATTCTAGACATTGCTCTTGATTTTTTTCACTGATTTTGTCTAGTCTACTTGAAAAAAAATTAGTTCTTTACCATAAGTAAAAATTAACATATTGTAAATTACATTACATCTTATGATTTCTCAGAGGTTGAATTAGATTAACAAACAGAATGCGAAGAGAAATAAACTAATTAAAATTGTTGGCTACATCTGTTGTTAGTGTATACATACTCTTTACTTTCCTAGAATATGTCTAATTGGATTGATTGTCATTTGAGGAAAAAATTATTATTTTTGATAAATCATTTTATAATTAATGTTGTATTATTGAAAATTACTAGTGATACAAATAATTTTGCAGATCAAACAATAATGATTTTATGTTGTGTCTGCTTGTAAGAATTTAGTTTTCATTACTGAAAATCAATGAAAACATGAAAGTACTGGACTGCCATTTTAGACTTATTTACGTCTCATGATCACCAGCTTCGTTTTCAGTCACTCAGTTAGTTGGAATTTTTCGGACAATATTTCCACCTTCAGATAATCCACTTGAATTCATTTGTTTGTTAATTGTGATCGGATAGGTATCTGTTAATCGATTATTTATAATATCTCAACTATGTGAAATTGATATCATATTAAGTTTGTGACATGACTATGCATAATCTTTGGATAAACTAGGTAGAAAATTCCTTATTTTTTAAAAGTGAGTAGCAGATTGAAAATATTTCACATTTTATCAACTTGATTTCGAATAACTATATTTTATTTGTAGTCATTCCAGTCCGAATTTAATTATATCCAATCGAAATTATTAAACATTCAATAAAATTACATACACTTTCCATTATATTAAAATGGTACATTTTAGAAAATTTTCAAGTCATATGAATCTATGGGTTTTTAATTTTCCATTACAAAATAATAAATATGCATATGAACTTCCGAAAAAAGGCACGTTGATCATTTGAAAACGTTACATCCAAAATAGAATGAACACAGATCAACTATTCTAATGCCAGTGTTTTTGACGGAAGTACGGAAATCAAATGTTTTTAGTGACAAGGAGCAATATGAATAAATATATTATCTCAAGCTTAACAAATTCTTAAAAGTAACTGCAGAGGTGTTATAACTCATACAAAATAGAATCAAATAGTTTAATTATTGACATGATGTTTAGCAAAATAAGTAATAAATAATTAACTTTTTGTATTTTGATGCATAATGCTCTTGTTTCTTTTAGTATTCAAATCAAGGGTGATACAATTGGTTGTAAATTTTACTCTATAAATAAGCCAGTATATGCTGAAAGTTGGTAAATATTCGATTATATAAATAAATAAATAAGTATATTTTTATTAAAATATATCATATTTTGGAACAAACAAGTATCAAAATGTGTTTTGTTTTATTATAAGCTTGCAAAATGGGCTACATAATTTAAAATCTATTTGACGAGAGTTAATCAAACAGAATTTTAATGAACGTGAAAACTAATCCAATTTTTTATTGATCTTTCCCTGTGAAATGAAGGAGGTCAATGAATTTATTGCCATTTTTATTTTCAAACAGATTCAATACTCAAATATATATATATATATATATATGTAGTATTAAGCGGTAATCATTTCACGACTGAGGATCATTCAAATCTATGCCAAATAACTTACTTTTATGATGACTGATTGTTGTAATGCACAAAGCGAGACATAAGTAGACTTGAAACAATATTAACACATATTTTCCGTACATTCGTAGAAGCATAATTTGACCAGTTCACTGTCTATCATACACAATTGAAATACACTTCACAAATCATACGGTTAGCCATTTGTATTGATACAGTAGGTATATTGTAAATTCCAAATGAAAGCAACTGGCTATTAATGACATGAATAGTAATGTTTCATTATGTTTATCTTTCGATAACTCTTTGATATTATCATATAATTCTCTTAATCATATTAATGTGGATTCCATCAATTACTAATAATAATAATATCATTCTTAATGTTTACAAATTAGATATCAATCCATTTAAACTTTATAAATATAAATGAACAGTTGAACACAAGATTGGTTTGTTCAATATGACAATGAAAATTTCATTTTTATACATTTATTCATGTAGTTTTTGTTTATCTGTTTTTCTAAAGAGAACAATATTAAAGTTAATTTGATTTTATTCATTTGACAGACACTAATGTTTGTTTCTCTCATCTTTTGAGACCATTTTCTCTTCCTGTTTTTCACTCTTATTTCGCTTCATTAATTATGGGTTTTTTTTTCTCTTTAATGAAAATGACAAGCAAAAACATGCGAGATTTCTGTTCTCCAATTCGTGTTAATTTTTATAGAATTAAAAGTAAAACGAAAAAACGCAAACATCAAATGGTATTAGACAGAAATAATCATACTAACAATGATATTGATAATAAAAATAATGTAAAAAACCGATTTAAATAAGACTTGAGAATTTTTACTAGTAATGCTACTATTACTATCAACCAATAAATACATGTACTTCCTTATTGGTCAATTTTCTCTTGCCTAAAACGTTGGTTGGTGCATTTATGTTTTCACTTTGTTATTTCAAATAAATAAACTAACTAAAATATCCACTTATTTTTTTCTGCTTCTATATTACATTATAACTAAATAATATTGACCTATTTATTTATCATAGTCCTACTAGTGGTTAGTTTATAAGGATGGTTCCCCTGAGTTCTAATGAGAAACTGTGACTTAGTTGAAAGAAACCAGTTTGAACATAGTTAATTGCCAATGAAGAACACTGAAGTCGAACATGGAAACGAATAGACGTTAGGACGGTGGTCAAGAAGTTGAACATTTACATTCTTAACTGAAATTTCTAAAACAGATCGTGGATTTGCATTGAAGAATAGTCGCATACTTAGATGGAACATATATCTTCTCTGGTATTCACTTGTTCATATATATATATATATATATATATATATATATATATATATATATATATATATATATATAATAGTATAATCATACTAATCGAGTTGTATGCAGTATGATGTAATGATGCTATATACTCACGAGATATTATCTGAGGCAGAGTTTCGTTCTCTGAGCTAGATGGTTTGGCAGTAGAGCGTTCAATACCATTATCAATTTGGGAGGAGTGTTGTACTGAACTGTCAAAACCTAAAAGAGAAGCATATAGAACATTGGCAGTTAGAAAGCTGATAATTGATAGTTTTATAAATTTGAAGGACAAGGAGATTATTACTTCGGATTTATATGACTACAATCATCTCGAGCTTATATGGATTAACGAAAGTACATATACCTAGATTATGGCTTAGACCTATCTTTAATTCACCCTACCATTGAACAGCCCAATGTTTATCGAGATAATCGTAACCAATTTTAAAACAAGTATCTAAACTTAATGACAACTTTACGAGTGATAACACTCATGTTCCCTCATGATGTTAGTTCTCCATTCAACAGCGTGCCATTTATCCAAACCAGCTTATACTTTTTTCGTACCCGACTACTGAAAATGTCGGAAATTCTTGTCATCCATGAAATAGAACGGGAAATGAGAGTACCATGGCCTTAAATTATTATTTTTTTCTATATTCTTTAATTACTTCTCATAACAAAACAATAATATATAAACGAGGTATGTTCATTTTTATGAATTATCACCAGGTTCTATTACTATTTATACAAATCACTAATCCGAAAAATGGTCATGTTTAAGTTAAAATACATCGTTTAAAATTGGAGTATGCGAAGTAGGAATTTTTTGTGAAATAAAATAAAATTGTTCATGTTCGGATGGTCAATATGAAGTGTTCATTTGAATAAGTCTTAACGTTTAATAAAATTGTTACATAAAAGATCAGATTAAATATAGTTCAGATAGAGTGAGAGAAATAATAATGCAGTTATCGAATTTAATCGAATGTCAAGTGGATAATTTTATGTACCATTAATCTTAACTTCACATGCAATCATTTGAAATGGTGTATTTTGACTTAAACCTGGCTATTTATTTGAGTGCTAATTTGGATAAATTAATTCACCTTGGAGTCCTTCTGAAGTTACTTTCAGTCCCAAGCCTAGATAACGAAGGAGGATTGTGCATGGGATTAGAGAAGCCATTTCTTAAAAAACGCTATCCATTTAAACTCTGCTCTGAAAGGCCTTCATTTGGAAACGTTATAACGTCTGACGTTAAAACCCGATTTTATTCGGATGCCCCTTATCACAACCAGAGCAACTATTAATATAGGTACATGGAATGTTATTACAATGTGGAAGACCGAAAGAATTATTCAGATTGCCGCGGAGATAAAAGGCAACGACCTGGTGGTGAGTGAAACAAGTTCAATCGATTAGATGCTGGTGATTAGAAAAGATTAGCTTCAGGAGAGATGCTGGTATACTTCAGCCATGAAGAGGGGAATATATTACATACCCAAGGAGTTGCATTGGTGCTGTCCTAATAAGCACAAAAGGGACTGAAAGGATGCTAATCTCACGGACCCAGAAGCGTCAAAGCGTCCTTTGGGATAAAAATAACAATGATAGTCAATCAAGACTGCGCGCCCACCGACGATAGCAACAAAGATCAATTCTACGAGAGGCTGCAATCAATGGTCAAGAAAAGCCCAAAAAAAGGCTTGACCATTCTAGTAGGAGACCAAAATCTCAAGGTTGGAATAAACAACACTGGGTACAAAGAAACTTTGGGATGACATGGATTGGAAGAAAGGAACAAAAATGGTGTGTTCTCAACGAATCGGTCGTAGACAGCACCATATTTCCACTCAAACGCACTAACAAAGCCCCATGGATTTCACGGGATCACACTACTCAGAACCTAATCGACCATATCTGCATCTTTTTAACGTTCAGAAAGATGATGAAGGACGTGAGAACCAAGAGAGCAGTTGACATAGCCCAACATAATCACTTGATAGGCATCAACATGAAACCGAAACTCAAGAAGCATCGGACAACGGGACGAACAAAATCACAGAAGTTTAATACGACATTTCTTCGAGATACTGGGAAGCTCAAGGAATTGAGGATATCCCTCAGCAATAGGTTCCAGGCTTTTTAAGATCTACCGAATAGAAAAGAAACTAACACTGAGAACAACTGGAAAGGGACCAAGGAGGCAATCACTTTAACAGGTCAGGAGGTTCTGGGTCACAAAAGGTACCACCATAAAGAATGGATATCTGTAGATACTCTGAATAAAATTCAAGAAAGAATTAACAAGAAGGTAGCAATCAACTTCAGCTGAACAAGAGCAGAGAAATCCAAGGCACATGCTGGATACACAGAAACAAATAAGCAAGTGAAGAGGAGCCTCAGAGCCGACAGACGTAAATATGTGGACGAGCTAGTAACGAGAACAGAAAAGGCTGCAAGCAAAAGAAGCTTGAGACAATTGTATGACACAACAAAGAAGCTCGCTGGTAATTATAGTAAACCAGGATGTCCAGTAAAATTCAAGCAAGGCAAAGTAATCATCAACATTGAAAAATAGCAAAAGATGTGAGTAGAACATTTTTAAGAACTCTTGAATCGAATAGCTCCACTAAACCCACTCAACATCGAGGCAGCACCCACAAACCTCCCAATCAATTTTAACACACCAACAGTTGAAGAAATCACCATGATCATCATATAAATCAAGAGCGGCAAACCAGAGGGACCAGATAGTATTCCATCAAAGGAACTGAAATCAAACGTAGCAGTAACTGATAAGATAGTCTACATGCTCTTCAGCGAGGTTTGAGAGGAAGAACAAGTACCAACAGACTGGAAACAAGAATACCTCATCACAATACCAAAGAAACGCAATCTCAGTAGGTGTGAGGACTAAAGAAGCATCACTCTTCTGTCAATATCAGGCAGTCTTCAACAGGATGTTGTTAAACATAATAAAGGACTTCGTAGACGAGATCAACAGACTAGATTTTGTAAGGATCGATCGTGTACTGACCAATATATATATATATATATATATATAGACCATACATAAAGGCCAAATCATGGTTGATCGTTTTTAAAGTAATTTCCATTATTATTTTCATTAGCAATAATGTTGACTGCATTGTAACAGATTTTATCGTAAATGTATTTTGTAACCATATTTAGTAGCGGATTTTTTAATTTGATAATGTTTAGCTGTCTTTTTGCTTTATTATTCTTGGTAAAATTAAATCCTAAATTGGTAACCAGCACTAATTTCTCATAATGCTACTCATTTGTGCTAGGAATACTAATCAGTTCACGTTAAACTAATATTACTAGTTAACCAAACTCAACTAGTCACCATTAGAATATCCTATTTACTGAAAAATTATTAATAATTTAACACTATTCTAGTATTTGTTGAATAACATTACTACTTGTTCTGAAATCTTTGTACTGCACAATGCTGATACTTATTCACTTAGTTCACTCACCACTTTATAGTAAATCAAACAAAAAATCCTGTTATATTTCTGCAATGTTTTAATTTAAAAACAACTCATGTCAAAAACAGATGAGAAGAATTAATATGAAAATGACCTAGTTATTCCAGTGAAATCAGTTTTTCAAAGCATAAATTAGAAAATTATCATTGAGTGCAACGGATAGGTTACCATTTTGAACTATTCTTTATTTCCTTTGTTTACTCAGTATCACTGGTACTCGCTATCAAATGAAACTCAAATCAAACTTCATAACCATGTCATTAATCAATAAATTCAAAAATC